GGGGGGGCAGTGTCGATCTACTTCTTTACTTTCCTTCTGTTGTTTGAGTATTTTCTTTACTCATTCCCAGCATGGAATGGTTAGTATTGAGTTGGAGGGGAAGGATGTGTATTATCTGTTTTTTAGTTCTATATATCTGGAAATCTCCTCGTCAATATCTGAGGGATAAAAAGATAACACAAAAAACATACGTTTATGAAATGCAATCTTGATTGTTACTCTTTGTATTTATTGTTGTACTCTTATGTATGATCATAATATGATGTACAGAGTGGCATTAATTATGATTGTATGAGTGTCTGCTTATGTGAATGCGTTAATCAAAAGGGCATATTATGTATGCTGGTTTAAGGACATATTTTTTTTGCAAGTATGGGGCGGGTGGGTATGTGCCTATGTGAACATATGCTGGTGTGTGCGTGTGTGTGTGTGTGTGTGTGTATGTATGTTTGCATGCGTGAATGTGAATGTGTGTGCCTGTGTGTGTGGGTACGTGTATGTGTGAAAATAAGTCGTACGTACATAATGTGTGCATGTTATGTATCAAAGGGGCTTTATAAAGATGATCTGCATTATTATTATCATTATTATCTTTATTGTTATTTTTAGTTGTTGTAGTAATATTGAAATAATGATATAATTTATTATTACTACTACTACTACTATTATTATTATTATGATTATTATTATTTGTTGCCTTGTTGGCTGGATAAAAAAAATTTTCTTTTGATTCTGTCTGCTTGCCTTACTTTTACCCTGCAGTAAATATCTGTTATTGTGTCTTTGGGCTTCTCACAGCTAAATTAGACAAATGTTGCCTTTTTGTGGCAGGGTTTGCCCAAGTCCCCGCTGACCAAGGCCTGCAGCACAGACAGTCCTAGTGGTGTGGCCAGCTCTGACAGCTTGACCTCTCTCTTAGGCATGGCAGGAGGACAGAAAAAACCTGCTGCTCTGCACATGGACTTTTACTCGGACAGCGACTCAAGCCGCGGCAACCTCAGCATCAACGAAGAGGCCACTGGTGGTGGTGGCAGCGGGTCCGGTCAGACTCTGGCATCATCGTCTGGTCAGTCGTACCAAGACGTCTTTTCTCAGGCGCGACAACAGCAGACGGCGTCTCCGACAGCTGGACCAGGACGCAGACGCCACGGATCAAACACCGACGAGAATAGCCCTGGTGGTGCGGCGAATAAGACCAGCACACAGGGGAGTGAGGTCAGTTTGGGTCGGTTGAGGCATCCTAGTGGCGACGGGGAAGACGCCGGTCAGAGTGGGGGCGGTAGCGGCATGCCTGGCGCCCCGCCCCACACGGCCAACAGGATCATGGTGCTACAGATCAGCCAGCAGGACATCTCTCTGATCTGCCTGGAGAAAAAGACGCCTATCCTCGAACGATACTTCAAGGACATTTCTTTTGTGTCACAGGTGAGGAGATAGTGGTTGTTTGATGGAGAGTAGTTGCCTCGATAGTTCTGAGGAAAGAAATGTTTTTTGAATTTCATTTTGTTGCCAATTTTGAGCTGATTTTGTGTGTGTGTGTGTGTGTGTGTGTGTGTGTGTGTGTGTGTTGTGTGTATGTGTGTATGTGTGTGTGTGTGTGCGCGCGCGCGTGTGTGGGTGTGGGTGTGTGTGCCTATGCATGTGTGTGTGTGTATGCCAAACAATCCCTCCACCCCTCACCTCCCACCCCCCAAAAAACCCAACAAAAAACGCAGCATCATAAGCAGACAGAACGACCCTCACAATGCTGAAATACATCGGATTAACCACCTTTTATGATGGACTTTTATCATGGGAAACAACTGTTTAATTTTGTTACTATTGTTATGAACAATATAATCTAAGCAGTTGTTTCCCCTAGATAGGATTGTTAAAGGCATTGCATCTTTGCATGTCCTTTTTCAAGTTGAAACTTCTTGTTCTTCTAAATTATACATCTCTAGCAGTGTCTGTGGTGTATCTTTGAGGCTTTTGCCACTGCATGCAAAAGATACAAATTTGTTTCCTGTCTGAGCTAGTTTAATTTATCTAGTATCTCCATTTGTTAGTACTGATACTGTATCTCTTCTTGTCTGGTTTTGGCAGTCAGGGTTGAAGAACCCTGTCTCCTAGGTGTTGTAAATTGTGGGGATGGAGGCTAAAACTGCTAGATATTTTCAATTATAGGTTATTTTTCATACGCGACTTCTTATTGTTTTGTCTGACAGTTCTTCACATTTAATCTGATTCTCCATTTATAATAATGATGATGATAATAATGAGAATTTATTATATAGCGACTAATTCCAAGAAGGCTCTAAGCTCTGAGCAGTGCAGAATCATCACTCAACTGAACTAACGAATCAAAGTACAGAACATGCACATTGTAATACCCTTTCACACCAACAACAACAAAAAAACAATATACACACACCACATACACACTCACACACTCTCACACCCACACACACACACACACACACATCCACACACACACACACACACACGACTCCCAGATCCACACGCATTCTCACATACAAAATTTACTGGCAGAGGATAGTGTTGAACAAATGTATCTTTAAACTTTTCTTAAATTCTCTCTCTGATGTCACAAAACGCACTTCTCTTCGGAGTGAATTCCACATTTTGGGACATAAGAAGGAAAAGTTTTCCCACCCAATTTGTTAGACTTTACCATGGGTACTCTCATGAGATTCTCACCCACTGATCACAAATTAATGTCTTCATGGTACATATCGTCGCTGTTGCAATCAATCAACTTAAGGCCAATATTGGAGAATTTTCGATTTTTACACCTTCTTAAAGCTCTATCAAAGATGCACCTTATAACATAACTAAAATGTAGGTCAAGGCTAGTAATTTTCTTACTTTTCATGATTCCTGATGTGTACAACAGAACATAAGCTAGCTTTTGTCTTTGGTGTATAAAAAATACCCAAACAAACTTATGTGAATTGCTTGCTGCACCGATGATATGACTCAAAAAGGTATTTAAGATATTGTCATGCTTTTGTTATTCATGCACTTGTGACATAAAAGAGCAATTTTGTCATCGATTCTGGCTTTCACTGATAATATGTTCTTTTTGGATTTTTTAAAAGATTAATCGAACAACTCTATTTTGAAACCACTGCAGTCTGTTAATCATTTCCGAACTTGAATTGGCAAGAAGAGAATTACAGTAGTCGAGTCTTGATAAAAGAAATGCTGAGGTGAAAATCTGGGGAGATTTTAATGCTATATTTATTGAATTTTTTTTTCTTTTCTGGTGTCGTGTGACTGTTCATAACGGTTTATTTTCTCTCTTTCTCTTCCAGGGGAGCCACAAGCAGGAAGTGTTTGGCATCGTGGTGCGAGAGTCCAGCTCCATGTTCATCTGCTACTTAGTCAAGTGTCTCACGGACTCAGTGGTGAGTCTGTTTTTTATATGTCAGCGTTTTTATCTCTTAATCGATACAATTAAGATAATTAAGAAGGCACGCTTAGAGATACAACATCCCAGCTGAAAGACCGAGATGCTTGATAAAAATTCTTCCCCCCCTCGGGAATTGAACTGTGGTCTCCTAAACTAAGTGCAACACCATGGACACCGACGTATCTGTACATCATGTTTTACTATCGTATCCATACTACGCGGGGATCTCTGTGCCCCCATTTTCCAAAGAGGAAATTTACTTGTTAATCCTATCTGTACGCTTTGCATAGCAGTCTGTCAAAATGATTTTTTGAGAAATACTGAAAGTTTCAAAGACTCTTCACACTAGAAGTACTGTATTCTAAAATGTAAAGAATACAACCCCTGGGGTACAAAATGATAGGGCTAATGAAATAAAGAGGCAAATCAATATGATAAAAATGTTATCATATTGATTTGCCTCTTTTATTCATGAACTGAATGTTCAAGTACCCAGGAGACCCCAGCAGTGAGTCAAGCTTTCAAGTGACTTTATGTAGTAGTCTTGTAGTGACGGCACTGACGTCGTGGGTGTTTTTTAAATTCTTCTTGGGTTCAAGTTTTACCCTCCATTAGATTCTTAGAAGTCCTATTCACTGAGAAGAATGCTCTCAGTAAGTGATTTTTTTAGGCGGGGAGAGGAGGGGTTGAGGGCGGGTTGTAGAGAGGATTAAGGGGGGGGGGGAGGTGCTTTAACGTACTTCAGACGGCAGTACAGGGCAGAAGATAACTCATGCGCCAAAGAGGTTGAGGCGTTCCAGTGGCACCCCCCCCCCTCCTCCTCTCTCGCCTGGCGGTGGAGTTGCGCCACATGTTAATGGATGTACGGACTTTTTCCTGAGCTCCCGGGGTGCCGAGTGGTTCGACTGCCCACTTGCTGTCCCACCAGTTGCCACGGATGATGACTCGGCGCATTTCGATGTTGCCATCGCCCTGTCGACAAGATCTCATCCTCACGTCGTTATAGCTTGTTATTATGGTGTGTGCACGACACGTTCTCCTCGTCGATTCTTCTTGATCGGGTTGTGTCGAAAAGTCTGACAGGCCTGTGCGCCGTGACATCTTTCTTGATCTCGGCAAGAAATCGAATAGTTGTTGATTCTTTTAAAAAAAATTATGTGCGAGACACTCG